TTTATTTCATTAATGTTTATTATTTAAACAATAAAACATCCTTTTTGTTTTATTTCTTCGTTAGATGATTCTATTTGATTGTTATTTTCTTTATATTTAATAACATCCTTTGTAATTATTTCAAATATTTCATTAATGTTTTCATTTCTTTTAGCACTACTTTCAATAAAATGACATTGAACACTTTCTGAATACTTCATTCCTTCTTCTGTTCCCACTTCTCTTTCCTCTGTTAACTCACTTTTATTTCCAACAATGATGCATGGGATGTGTTCGTTCATTTCTTTATCTCTTATTCTATAAATTTCATTATGAATATCTTGTATTAAGTCAAATGAATATCTTGAAGTAATCGAATACATTAATATAAATCCATCTCGAGTTCTTATATAGTAATGAGTTGATCCTTTAGACTCTTCGCTAACACAAATATCACTGATATCTATTTCTACTCTTTTATTATCAATTTGAATTGTCTTTTGATATGTCGCATCTCCACTCGGTTGATATGTCTCAATAAATCTACCATCAATGAACTGAAGTATAGTACTAGTTTTACCAATTCTCGATGCTCCAAATACAACTAATTTATATCTTTTTTGATGTTTGTTCATTTTATTTTTTAGTTTTGATTTTTCGTTTTTTATAATATTTTAGAAAACTGAAGATTAAAAATAAATTATTTTATTTCACATTTTATTATGTGAAAATATGGAATAAAATGAAATAACATTTATAAAATAATAAATAAAATGAAATATTATAAGTGAGTATTTAATTATTTAATCATATGATTTTGATCTGATATTCATTAAATTAAAATGGAATCAGTGATGAATAACCATTTAATTAAAGAAATAGTAGAAACACTTCCAAATATTCAACAATCAATTGATGATACTACTAAACAATATCATTATTATTTAGGATGTATTAAAAATGAAATATTTGAGAAACAAGATAATGAAACATATGAACAGGCTATTAAAAGAGGAGAAGGAATATTTGATAGAATTGATGAAACAGAAAAAAGAAGAAAAGTAGTAATAGAAAAAATTCAGGAAACAATTAACCAAATAAAAATAATAAAGAATAAAATGGAAAATATAACAGAAGAATGTAATGATGATTCAGGAGCAATTAATAAAGCTAAGAATGAACTAATAGATAAAATCATTTACATGGAAGAAATGGATATGAAAGATAAAATTAAAAAATTAGAAGAAGAAATTAATAAAATTAAAACAAGATTTAATAAGAAGAAAGAAGAATGGGAAACACAATATAGTGATTATTTCGAGAGAAAGATGAGAAAAGAAGAAGAAAGAAAGACATTAGAAGAAGAAATAATAAAAACTGTAGCAAAGAAAACAATCGAAGAAATTCAACAAATAGAAGAATGGACAAGTAGAAAAATAGGAAATATACTATTTGATTCAGATATTGATAATTGGAATGAAAATACATCAGTATTTGATCAAAGAATAATAAATAAAGAACATATAATAATTATTATTGAAGATGAAGATGGAAATAAATTTGGAGGATATGTTAATTGTAAAATTGATAAAGTTAGAGATTTTATATATGATCCAAGTGCATTTTTATTTTCATTAGAAAGAAAAGGAAGAATACAAGGAATGATGAAATTTGATATTAAACAACCACAACATGCATTTTATTTATTTGGTCAATCAAATGTTGGTTTGTTTGCATTTGGACAATATCAACATGATATCGTTATTGCTAAAGAAAATAGTAAAACAAAATCATATTGTAATCAACATTCATTTGAATATAAAGGAATTGAAGATTCACTTTGTGGAAAACAACTTCCAGAACGTTTCACACCACAACGAATCATTGTAATTGAAATGAAATGATTTTTATTCATTATTATTTATTTGAAAACTAAAAACTAAAAAAGAATATAAAATAAAATATAATAAATAAGAAAAGGATGATTTATTTTGTTTTATTATTTTATATATTTATTATATTTAATTTGTAATATCCATTCATTTATAAATTATTTATTTATATTATTATTAATTTACTCTAAAAATAGAAAGGGGTTTGAGAAGAAAGAGTTTGAGGTATGTAAACAAACAGTATCTAGTATAACAGAAAAAAGTAATTTAGTCTTGTGTTTAATCTGTGATTTAAGTTACTTCATTTTTTGTGTATTTGTTCTGTAGTTCTGAAAATACAAAACGATCAGTTAAAATAATGCCTTTTTCTCTACCTTGAGGTTAATAAAATAAAAATTATATGAAATTTAAATTATTTTTATATATAATATTAATTACAGTATAATCCAGTAATGTCCTAACTAGTCTTTGAAAGTTAAAAAAACAGCATTCACTTGAGAAGAACATTAAACTGATTATGAGAAGTATCAATAGTAACTACGACATAAGGAAAAAAAAAAGGTTAATTAAAATAATAAGAGAACAACAAAAAAGAACTTTTTAAATAAAATTATAAATTATTGAAACTTAAAAATTTCAAAAAATACCAAAAAAAGAACTTATTACAATAATGACTAATAACTTGGAATATATTAAATTGAAGGAAATTTTCAGATGTTATTATCTTCAAACACCAAACTTAAGTTTACTTAAACAAATTGCATTAAATAATGGACTAGATGGGTTGTTACGTAAACTTGGATGGTTGACATTTCTTGATGTATTACCATTACCAATTACTCCAAGTTGGGGAAGGATATTAGAAGTTATGAGAGAACGGTATGAATACTTTATTGAGAATGATAACAAACCAACCCAATTTGATGAAATAATTGACCAAGATATAGAACGGTTATATTCTGATATTGAATTTTTTATTCATCCAGAAGTAAGAAGTTCAGTAAAAAGAATATGTAAAATTTTTGCTATTGAACACCCTGATGTTGGGTATCAACAAGGAATTCATGAATTAGTTGGAATTATTTACTATGCTTTTTCAGAAATTTATCCAACAGAAAAAGCTACTAGTGCTATTCCTTTTCCTTCAGAATATGAAAATGCATTTCAAACAATCATAGAAAATGGATTTACTGAACATGACACATTTACTGCTACTGAACACCTTATTGCTCTTATGCAACCAATATTTTCAAAAGGAGCAAATGGAGTAAAAAATATGTGTAATGATTTATTTAGTTCTTTACAAAAATTTAATCAAAATATATTTGATCGATTTAATGAAAATGGAATTATACCAACAACATTTGGAATTAAATGGCTACGGTTATTATTTTCAAGAGAATTTCCTTTAGATCTAGTTTTAGTTTGTTATTTTATTAAATAATTACAAAATTATATTTAATTAATAGCAATTATGGGATGGGATCTTTGCTTTTGGGAATGGTTTAATTATTATTCGAAGTATTTTTATGTTATTAATGTTAGATTGTAGTAAAGAAGAAGACGAAGAACAAATCCTTATAAGATTAATGCAATGTCCAACAAAAAATGTTACAAATATTCATAGACTTATTCACGAAGCAATCGTTTTTGATAAACAAGAGAGAACAATATTTCAACATTAAATCTAACAGAGTAAATTGAATTGTATTTTTTTCTATTACTACTTCTTTTCAAAAGAACTTAAAATATCTAATTTATGAATTCTTCATACCAACTTATTGATGAGAATGACAAAAAGAGTTATCTTCCTTTAATTATTAGTATTTTTAGTGGCCTCTTCTTTATAATTTCATTAATTTTAATAATTGTTATTTGGGGATATCCAATTATTCTTCCTGATCCAAAACAAAGTAATGAAGTAGTAAATTTTTTTAAAACAGTACAAAAGCCAGTAAATGAAGTTATGAATAATGTTGATACAATCACCTTAAGTTTAAAAAGAGCAAATGTATTTTCTCAAATTTTAGCTTCAAATGTTAACGAAACAATTCTTCAAATTAATAACTCTATTCAACAAGATTATCAATTAGTGGTTATTCTTTCTGAAATTATTGAAGGTTTTGTTCAATTTATTACAAGTATTAATAATTCTATACTTGGATTTATTGTTGATGATTCATTTGTTGAAAAAATAATCAAATTAAAACAACAATTCCATTTATTCTTACCTGAAATAAATATGATTCAAAAACTCCTTATTGATATTAATTCAAATTTTAAGGGATTTCTTACTGTATTTGATTTTATTGCTTATAGAATGGGATTAGTACAGCAGTACACTAAATCTTTAAGTCAAATTTTTGTATCTCTTATTAATGGAGTTGAATTATCAAATAATAAAGCCCAATTCATTATAAACAGTTGGACTTATACTAGGTCTATTCTTACAATAATTTGCCTTTTTGTATCTATAACATCGTTGATTCTTGCAATTGAAGGATTCATTCATTATCGTTCAAAATAAAATTGATTGAATTTATTTTAAACTTTCTTTTTTTTTATCATAAAAACCTCTTTCATCTATTTACATTTTTAAATCAATTACTATTTAAAAACTATTACCATTACCAATCATCACTCCAATCATCACCACTATCATCTTCATTATCTTCCATGTTCATATCCTTTCTTCTATCTGATAAAATATTACGAAGAGCAGTAATAACCTCATCTTCTTCTTTTTGTCGTTCTTCTATTTCTGTTGGTTTCAAATTATTGCTTTGTGCAAATATCAAATCTGTAAATGATACATTTGGAGCAGAATTCGGAGATTTTGTCTCTGTCGTATAAGCATCTTCTGAAAGAGGTGGTGGTGGTGGAACAAAACTAGGAACATTTGATGGAGGTAATGGAATTGTATGAACTTCTTCTGTAATTTCAGATTTTAGTTCTTCTTTCTTTACTACTGGTTTTGGTTCTTCTTTTTTAATAATTGTTTTTGGCTCTTCTTTCTTTATTACTGGTTTTGGCTCTTCTTTCTTTATTACTGGTTTTGGCTCTTCTTTCTTTTGTTCATTTGTTTGAGATGAATAAGGAGAGTCTGTACTAGATTTAGTTCTTGGAGAAGAATTTGTATCTGAACCATAACTAGTTTTATACGAAGAAGATTTAGTGGGTGGTTGAATAGAATTTGTTGAACTTACTGGTTTTGGTACTATAGAAGAAGAATAAGGAGTATATGTTTTTGTAGTTATTTTAGGACTAGAAGACTGGTTACCAGGAGTAAAATGTGTAGGAGTTATAGGTTTAGCAGCAGACTTAGTGACAGAAGGTGTTTGTTTTTGTGGATTTGTTTTTTTTAGTTGGCTTCTTTGATCAGCAAAAACTTTACCCATATCAACTTCATTACTTTGTTTTGGTTCAGACTTGATAGGATTTGATGAACTAACTTGAGACTTAGAAGAGGAGGTATTTGGTTGTGAAGGTGTTATTTTTGGTTTAGTAAATGAGGGTTGTTTATATGTTCTAGTCGAAGAAGAGGTATGATTAATTTTATCGTCTTTGTGTTGAGTAGTAGAAGTGTTAAGTTCTAGACTATTTTCCCTTCTAGTTACAGTACGAGGTTTAGTTGTTTCTTTTACATTATGAGAAGTGCTATAAGATATAGGTTGAGTTGAATGAGAAGTATGGTAAGAAGAGTAGGTATGAGCAGATGTAGGTTTAGGATTGGGATCAAATTTTTTTTGTTCTACTTGTTTTTGTTTAACAAGAGTAGAATTGTTTATAGTATTACTAGTTTTAGGTTTTTCTTTTTCTTTAAGTTTCATTTTTTCATAAAATGTTAATGGTTTTTCTTGTTGTTGTTCTTCGCAAAATGCTTTTGGAATAGTAACTTTTCCCCTAATTGGTGTAGTAGAAGTAGCTTGTTTAGACTCAGTTTTTTTCTTTCCAGTTTCATATGAAACATGTTTTTGTATTGGTTGAGATTGTTTTGAATAGTCTTGTTTAGTAAGAGGTTTAGACTGACCTTTAATTTCTTTCTTTGAAGATGAATTTCCAGAAGTACATTGATTAAGAGTTCTGTCTACTTCTTTTTGTTTTTGTTGTTGAATAAATCCAGGAGTAATTGGAGTTAATGTCATACCTTCAGGAATCTTTTTTTGTTGACGGACTGAATTTCTTAAAGCACGTGCAGTATTTGGATTATTGTTTACTTCTTTTTGCATGTCATTTACTATATGAGAACTTGCCATTAATTTGAATACTTTATCTCTTGTTTCTTTATCTGATAAATCTTTCTTTTTAATCCCGGCTTTTTTAAAGAAAGCTACCCAGGTAGCAGGTAAATTTTCAAATTCTATTTCTCCAGTTTTAGGATTTATTCCAATGTGACTTCTTGTTATTGTTGTTGGTGGTTTAATTTCTGTTCTATTTGATTTTCTGCTCATTTGAATGAATCTTGAATTTTAATAGTTTCACAGTTCAGTTTTTAGATCTTCATGTTTCTATCGCTTTTTTTTAAAAATATGAATACAAAGTATTTTGTTTTGTAAAAGATAGAATGACAAATAATAAATGATGATTATTGAATAGCACTGCAAATAGAGTTCATTATTTTTCTTGAATGTTTGTTATTTTTTTTAAAAGGGTCATCTAATATTTTTGAATAGCAAAAATTAAAAGCAGTTGGATGAATAAAAGTAAGTGAATTTGGAATGTTTAAAATATGAAGGGCATAACAACAAGAAAAAGATCCAGGAGAAATATATTTTAAATTTATTGGAAAAGTAAGTTGACTTAAAGAAGAACAAAAGCTAAATGAATAATCTTTAATAACTTCTAATAAAGGTGGTAATTTAATTTGTCTAAGAGAAGAACAATGAGAAAATGAGAAAGCGCCGATATAAGTTATTGTTGAAGGAAGAGTTAACTCTTTTAAAGAAGTACAATAACTAAAACATGAATCTTCTATTCTTTGAAGTTTAGAGGGTAAAGAAATAAAAATAAGACTAGAACATCTATTAAATGTTTCTGTTTCTAAAGAAGTTATCCAATTAGATAAAGTAATAGAAGTAAGTCTAGAACAAGAAGTAAAACATTGTTCTCCGATAAAAATAAGTTCTTGAGGTAGTAAAATTGATTGTAAATAAAAACAATTATATAAAGAACGATAAGGTATTTCTCTAAGGTAAGGAGGTAGTGATAATGATATTATTTTAGAAGAAGAAAAACAAGAATTACCTATTGATGTTATTCTACTATTAAGAATAATCGAATGAAAATTTGTTCCTTGAAAACAATTATCTGCAAGATCAGTTATAATTTCTGGTAAAATTTCATTTTTAAGAAGAGTACTTGTTGATAAAATAATTTTAGTAAAATGAATAAAATTATCTTGGTTTAATAAGTAATTACTATAACTATAACTAAACCACGCAATTCTTTTTTCTATATTTTCTTTTGTTTCATCAAAATAAGAAAATACATATTGTGTTTGTATATTTGGAAATAATTTATCTACTTTTTTATTATATGGTATTGGATTAAAATGAAACATTAAAGGTATTTCTTTAAACTTTTTACATATAATAATTCCATTATAAAAATCTTTAATATCATTAAAATATTTCATAACAATCATCATTGAATATCTATCTAATTGTTTCATATCTTAATATTTTGTAATTTGATAATTTTTTTATTTTTTTTAAAAAAAAATATCTTTCATTAAATGATTTATTTTTAAATAATTTAATATTTAATAAAATTTTATTATATTAAAAGATTATTTTTTATATTTTTTTTTTGATGATACAAACAAAAACTTAAATTTAATAAAATAAATCATTTAATGAATTTTCATTTTACTAACTTTTAGTTTCAATTCTTCATATTTAGCTTTAAGTTCATTAATTTCATTAGTTAAAGAAATAATAATACTTTGTTCTTCACTCAATAAACGTACAACTTCTTTTGAACTTTCTTTGTCTAATGTCTCTCCATTATCACTTCTTGGAAGAGGTTTAGAATTAACAATATTAAGCATCATTTGAACTTTCTTTTCTGTATCTGTAACATCAATCTTACCTAATAACTCTTTAAATTTTTGTAATACATCAGCATCAGGGTCTCCATCTCTAGTTAATACAGCAATAATTTCTTCATCCATTTTTAATGCATGTTCTGCCATAGATTCATATTTTTCAATTATTTGTTCTTGGATAGATTTCATAATGTCTTGAACGTCCTTTTGTAATTTAGTTAATTCACTGATTAATTCGACTTGTCGTTCATCTTGATATTTTGATCTCATTTCAAGTCCTTTAAAAAAACATATTTCAATTTCCATTAAATCAGGTTCTCCTGGTACAGGTTTTACCGTTTGTGTTGTGTTTTGATTTTGTTGGTTTTGATTAAAATTAAATCCTCCACTTGTTGATGTGTTAAATCCTCCACTTGTTGATGTGTTAAATCCTCCAAATGAAGATAACCCAAATCCACTATTTGTTGAAGACCCTAACCCACTTGAAAGTCCAGTTGAAGATCCTAACCCACTTGAAAATAGACTTGTTGGTTGTTGTTGTGTAGGTAAACTTCCTCCACATTCTTTTGTATAATTTTCGATGAATTTTCTTTCAGAGTCATTTTGAGATACATTCATTTTTAATTTAAATGGTGTTACTTGTGAGTTTGTATAAGATGCAAGAATTTGTGTGAGTCGAATGACACTTGGGTCGGTTGTCATATTGAATTATTAAGATTGAATAAATGTTGAAAAGTTCTTTTAGGTTTTTTCTAATTATTTCACAACTCTTTTTGTGAATCTTTTAAGATTTAAAAAACAATTAAAATAATGAAAATGTTATAAATACGATAATTATAAAAATTATGAAACATTTTTATAACAAAAAAAATTTTGTTAAAACTATAAATACTCAAAGATCTTGAAAACCTTGACGTTAAGCAATGAGGAAACTTGTTTAGCAACATTGAAACTGAATGGTTTAAAAGCAGCAAAGCCGGATTAAGTCGATAAAAAGTACGTGGACTTTCGTCAAGACTCAGTATAAAAACGTGTTGTTTAAAGATAAACTCATTACAAAAGATTATGGCTGAAGCATTATTTAAACAACTTGATGCTAATGGTGATGGTTCTGTTTCATATGAAGAAGTAAAAGCCTTTGTCAGTTCTAAAAGACCTATTAAGAATGAACAACTTCTTCAACTTATTTTTAAGGCCATTGATATTGATGGAAATGGAGAAATTGATTTAGCTGAATTCACCAAATTTGCAGCTGCTGTTAAAGAACAAGACCTTTCAGATGAGAAAGTTGGATTAAAAGTCCTTTACAAACTTATGGATGCTGATGGTGATGGAAAATTAACTAAAGAAGAAGTTACTGCCTTCTTTAAGAAGTTCGGTTATGAAAAGGTTGTTGATCAAATTATGAAGGCAGATGCTAATGGTGATGGATATATCACTCTTGAAGAATTTCTTGCATTCAGTCTTTAATTGAAATACATTCTTCTTAAATTCATTGTTTAAATAAATTTATAATTTTTTAATAAATTAATTATAATTAATTATCCTCCATGAATAGATGAAATTAATGAAATAACATCTCCATCATGAACTTCTGAATCAAGCATTCCAACTAATTCCCAATCTGCATCATTAATTAACACAATGATACCAGGTATTCTACATCTTATTAATTTTCTTACCAATAATTCTTTAAATAAAATACAAACACAGACTCTTCTGTAAAAATTGGAGCAAGTCCTGTTTGAATCTCTTTAATTTTGTGAATAACATCTCTCATTGTTTTGATATTTCCTATCTCAATCTCAAAGTGTGTAGTTTTTGCATCGTATTCTAACCCTCCACTCAATTCAATCTTAACTACCATCCTTGTTTTTATTCTGATATTTCTTTCTTTTTTTATTTTTATTTTTTTTATTTTCTTTTTTATAATATAAAAATATTAATTTTTTTATTAAATTTACTTTTAGATTCTAAAATATCTTTTGAATAAATATATAAGATTTAATTATTAAAATTTGTTAAAGAAATTAACACTTATATACTTTTCTGATCATCTAAAGCTTTTCTATACAAATGAATTCAAACATTTTTGAATACAAAATAATAGTTAAATCCATTTAATTTGTATTATTGGTGTTTTTTTTTTTGAAAGCAGAACATTATTCTATCTTTTAGTAAATAGATAAATTGTTAATATCTAAACCTAAATATCAAGTACTTGAAATAGTTTTGATAAAGATAATATATACTTATGGTAATGAAAATAGTTTTAATTTATTCATATTTTTAAAGATGTTTGTGTTACAGATGAAGAATTTCTTAGAATGTAAACTTTGAATTATTTAATAGAAGTTTTTAAGTGTAATATTAAAAGTAATAATCGCTAAAAAGGTGATTAAAAAGATAACAGTATCATGTTAAATTATTAAATATATTTCATATTATAAAAAAACTATGAATTAATCTTTAAGATATAAAAATCATTGAATCTTTCATTAAAATTAAATATTCATATTAATATTAATAAATACTAACTATGAAATGAATTAATTAACCAATGATCAAATTTAATTTTAAATTATATTATGTTTTTTAAAAACATCAATAAATTATTATATATGCCTTATCTTTAGATACTTTTGTTGTTAAAATATTTTTCAGAGTAAAAGTTTATCACTCCTTCAAAGAACAAAATGTTATTTATTTCATTAACACAAAAATAAAGAAGAAATGAAATAAAAAAAAGAAAAAAAAGAACTTAAAAAACATTTTAGGAAGAAGAAAGATGACATTTAATATTGGACAGTTTCCATCAAATGTAAAAACATATTTAAAATTAGCACAATCATTTGAAAATACTGACCCTGTCATTGCATTTCATTTCTGTGTGAAAGCAAAGACATTAATTGAAGAACAATATCAAGGAGAAGACAAAGAATTAAAAAGTTCACAAATAGATTTATTAACAAATACTATTGAAAATAAACCACAATTTATTCAATTTAAAGAATCAAATAAATCACCAGCTGAATATTTGTTAAGAAAAGCTGTTATGTTATTACAAAGTTCTGATAAACAATTAAAAGAAAAAGGTCCATCATTGTTTGTTAGTTATTATAAGTTTTTAATTACAACAGTTATTCAATTATTTAATTAACAAATTAGACAAATAGGAAAAACATTTCTTGTTTCATCCTATTTATTCGATTTATATGAATTATTTTTCCCATTAAATGATAATAGTAAGAAAATGCAAACATACGCTAAAATAAAAGCTAATGAATGCACTAAATTAAAAGAACCTTTTTCTTCTCCTATGATAGAAGAACCTGTTTCTATTCCTGAAGACAATAAAATAATCCATTATATTACAGAAGAAAAACCTATTGATCAGCCTGCTTCTACTCCACTTATTAATCAACAGAACTTATCTCAGTTTAATCAACAACCAACCAATTCTTTTAGAGATAAGAAAAGTGATTACTCACAATCTCCACTTCAAAATCATGTCATTTCATTAAATGATCAGATTGATATTTCTAAATTATCTGTTTTAGAAAAACAAAATTTAGCAGAAA